CACGTGCAAGAGGGTGTGTGTGTACGTGTATGTGGGTGTGAACTGAGGGTGGGAGTAGCCTTGCTGTGCCTTTCAAAATAGACACTCAGTGTACAGCACGGTTCTCTCTTTCTCTCTCCTCTCCCCGTGGTTTTCTGCACGCAAAGAATGACCCAGGATGTTAAATATTTGTTACCTAATACACTGAAACCAGACTATAGGCCTGATTTGTCCCTTTCCCAATGTTTAAAGCAATCACGCATGTCTAAAATGTTGCAAGGTGTGAGTTGCCATCCTTTGACCCCACATTTGATAAAACTCATTGTAACCTGCATCAGGTTGGGAAAAAAGAAGGAAAAAAATCAGACAATAAAGTGACATTTCTTGTCCATCCATTCTTCTTCGCGTTATTTGAAAATCATGCTAATGCTTTTAGGTATGTCACATGATGCTTTCCATGTGAACACCAGCTCTCTTTCCCTACTTCAGTCCTCAGTCAAGCGCATTCAAGCACAAGCCTGTGAAACCTTTCGTTTACACAAAGTCAGTTTGTAGAATGTCTTAAACTATTGCCTGTGGGGAAGAAATCATTTGACCCTGAGTGTCTGCTTTTTTTTTTTGGGATCTTGCTGATCATCCAAGCAGATCCCAGGCACTAACTAACAGCCTTACATGTGTTTTGATTGCCATGTAAGAGGCGACTGCAGAAGTGATGAGTGTTCGTGGGAGTATGGAGGGAGTGAGCGCCTTCTGCTGGAGCAGCGAGGCCTTTTGCGAGATGCTCCCACTCCAGTGATTCTTCTTTTAGCTCTTTTTCTTTTTCTTTTTCTTTTATTGTTGTGATTATAATTTTTTCATTATTATGGTCTCTTTCAAGTTGTCCTGCATCATATATACAGTCAGAATCTCATGAGTGTTCCGGTGAGGCCACTAAGGGTTTTTTGAGATGCAAGATAGATAGATGAAGATCCAGGCTGATCCAGAGTTGCCAACGAGCTCCAGTGGTTCCTTGATTGGTTCTTTTTGTATGAGAGAATTGCAGAACAGCTGAAGGTCAAAATGCAAACTCTTCCAGCCAACTATAGTCCTCCCTCTTCCATATTTCACATTTCTTTCCTCCTTCCTTGTTTCTCTTCATCTGTTGATGGCTGCTCTACCTGATGCACCAGTCCATTTTTGAAACACGTCATTGATAGAATCAAGCACCAGCAGAGAGATGTTTGCTTTCAGAATGTGTACACGTGTCTTCTAATAATCCAAAACTGACAAACATGATTTCTTTTCCGTCATATTCCAAAGGCAATGAACAGCATTGAACATTCTGCTGTAAAGATCCCAGTGGTTCTAACCCTGTACTGACCTCTCACAAGGGAATAAGTGACGTTTCACTGTGTGTGAAACTTGATAGTATCATGAATGCATTTTATTCATTTGTTTTTTCCCCTTTGTCGTTCACCAAAATTCATGTTTCATAACTCTAATAATGTTTTTTGGCCTTTTAGTTATGATACAGTTCTAAGATTTATTTGAATAAGCATCATCTATGACAAGTAATTAGTGTATGAGTATGAAAATGTATTTAGCTTGCAGATTTCATTTAGCTATCCTATGTTCAGATGTGACGCTTTAATTTCAAAAATTCTGTAAAATAGAAGCAAGAAACGTGTGCACATGTTTGTTTTCTTTTACTGAAATGGTTTTTGTTTAGCTTTTTTTTTTTTAAACCCATCTTGTAACATCTGATAAATGCACTATAATAAAGAGATCTATTACAATTGATTTGTTGTTGTTCATTTATTTTACAACTTTTATCAGTATTCAAATCTACATGGCTCCTATTGGTGGAGCCCTGATGTGTTCATGTCATACTCTAGTTCAGTGGTTCTCAAGCCTCTCCATGAAGTACTCCCAGCACTGCACATTTTGTATGTCTCCCTATATCTGGCACCCTCTTCAGGTCTTGCAGTCTCCACTAATGAGCTGGTGAGTTGAATCAGGTGTGTTAGATAAGGGAGACATACAAAATGTGCAGGGCTGGGGGGTACTCCAGGACAGGTTTGAGAACCACTGCTCTAATTCATCTTCATGTCATTCGTGATTGTGTTATGTAGTTGTTAAATTCTTTTAGCATGTGTTCTAATATCTCTATTTAGGGTGACTTGAAATATTCTGTCCCGTGACTACAGATGAAAAATAGCCTTTGGCTAATTCTGGTAAACTTACAGAAATGCTTAATGTACAATGTCCCTGTTAACTAAACAAAATAAAAAATCTTTAGGTGGCTTTGTGGAGCTGATGTTGACAGGGCCAGAGTTACTAGTTATCAGTTATCAAATTGATAAGCGCGTGTCTTATGAAGATATCAAGTCAACATTACAAAGTTTTTGAGCTTTCATCATTCATTTATTTGAACAGTTTGCTTCCTTTTCCAGTCTCTGATGTGGACACCCAAACAGGTTCTGCACAAGACATTACAGCTTTCAAATAGAGCCAGTAATACACATTCTAGTATCCTGAAATAATTTCAGAATAACCTTTGTCTCAAAGCTGTCATAAATCAATACTGATATCTGAAATTTTCTATAGGAGTTTTTTTTTTTTTTCATGAGTTAAATATACCCGATTGTCACATATGACCGTTCACATTTTATTTCCTATCATTAGACAGTTGAGCTATTTCAGCATATATTTGACTCTGGCCAGCAGGTAATGCCTTTCATTACACCGCACAATGTAAAAATGTTTGCCTGTCGTTAAATAATTAATCCAAGTTAACTCAAGAACACCAGCTTGGAGAATTAATTAAAAGTTCTGGATAAGACTCAAGTGGCTTTATTGACATGGTAAAAAAGGCTTTACACTGCCAAAGCATTGCTAACATTTAGTTACAGTAATAAAATAAAAAATTGTGCACACCATTATAAAGATGGCATTAGTTAAAGGGTTAGTTCACCCCAAAATGAAAATTCTGTCATTAATTACTCACCCTCATGTCGTTTCAAACCCGTAATACCTTCGTTCATCTTCAGAATACAAATTAAGATATTTTTGATGAAATGTGAGAGCTCTCAGACCCTGCATAGACAGCAAGGCAACTGTAATATTCCCAGGTCCAGAAACGTAGTAAGGAAATCGGTAAAACAGTCCATGTGACATCAGTGGCTCAACTTTAGTTTTGCGAAGCTACAGGAATACTTTGAGCGCGAAGAAAACAATTTATTTCACAGTCCTTCTCCCCAGAGTTACGTCTTCCGCCATTTTGGAGAGTACCCAAGAGCATAATCGACATAATCAGCGTTGTTTACGTTCGGGGAAGAAAGCGCGCGCATGAACGTAATCTGCTAATCAGTGTTGTTTAGGCTTAGGGGAAAGCGTGCGTATGCATTGTGTTACTCTCTGAAATGGCAGAAGATGCGATATGATGCGATTTCAATTTTTCCTTTCTCTTTGGAGTGTTACAAGCTCTTGGTGCATAAAGAAGATCTGTAAAGTTGCAAAGACTAAAGTCTCAAATCCAAAGAGATATTCTTTATAAAAGTTAAGAGTCAGCCACGCCTACCTAAAACGGCTCGTTCTAACACGCCCCCACATATCTACTTCAGGATGTGGGAAGATTTGCATAACGCCGCCCAAATGTTGAAGCAAAGAAAGAAGGTGCATCTTTTATTCTCGCTGTAGTATTGTTGCCGCCGCCATGTCGTGAAGACGCTGTGTGTTTCGTTGTGAAAGCGAAACTACTTTGTTTGGCCTTCCAAAAGAGGACGATATCGCTTCGTCATGCCTGGAGCTGATCTGTGCTGGTCGCTGAGGAAATACTTCAACTTCGCGCTGTGGATCGCCAGATCGGCTTTCACCGTGGACGAAGCGGAGTCCAGCCCGGGGTCGTCACATGTGGTTGCCGCAAGCCCACCGGCCGCTCCTTCGTCGAATCCGCGCCGTTCTCAAGCCCACCGGCCTCCGCTCACTCTAGCCCTCCGGCCGCTGCTCACTCAAGCCCGCCGTGTGTGACGCTGTATTTCGTCACACGCTTGAGGTATTCAGCCAATCATAACGCACTGGATAGCTGGCCAATCACAGTACACCTCGCTTTTCAGACCGATGAGCTTTGTAAAAATTGACGCGTTTCAGAAAGGCGGGGCATAGAGGAGAAACAATGATGTACAGTATGTGGAAAATAATGAGTTTTTTGAACCTTAAACCGCATAAACATTTCATTACACCAAATAATGTTCTTTTTAGCAACATCATATGACCCCTTTAAAAATTGTTATTTGTTTTCTTTACGCTCAAAGTATTCTCGTAGCTTTGCAAAACTGAAGTTGAGCCACTGATGTCACATGGACTGTTTTTACCGTTGTCCTTAATACGTTTCTGGACCTGAGAACATTACAGTTACGTTGCTGTCTATGCAGGGTCTGAGAGCGCTCACATTTCATCAAAAATATCTTTATTTGTGTTCCGAAGATGAACTTACGGGTTTGGAACGACATGAGGGCAAGTAATTAAATGACAGAACTTTCATTTTTGGGTGAACTATACCTAGAGGAGAGCAAGGACATGACTGTTGCAGAACCATGATGAATGTGGTGAGGGGAAGCTACGCACAGAACTTCCATTTTAAATAGTCATAGTGACTACAGCCTATGGCCTGACCTGCTGAGACAGACCAGAGACCCTACATAGGACCAGTAGGGTTAGATGATGAATGGATTTAAGGATTACAGGGGAGAAAAAAAATTGTTTCTCTTTAATCCATAGTAAAGATAAAAACCATAGTAAAAATAGAGAGGAGTTAAAATGGGTCTGGAGAAACAGTGTCAACTAGAGAATAAGACTTGAGCTGCAGACTTAAACATCCATCTTCTGCTTTTCTGGGACCAGGTCATGGTGGCAGCAGACCAAGAAGAGCAGCCCATATGTAATCCATTAATACATGTAAAGGCCCTGGAGAAGAGGTTAAATGAGTCACAAGAATGCTATAAAGTAATAATAATCACTCTGAAGAAAGGCCATTTAACTGAACAGTGTGGGAGAGAGAAAAACAAAATGGCATTTTGTGTGGGGTAACAGACATCATGGCAGTGAGAAAACCCAGCAGACAGAATGGCACAGTATGACAGTAGCCCTAGCCGTCCATATCTGTAGAAGAGAGAAAAAGAAAAAAAAGAAAAAACAACTGTTCACAGGAGGATGAAAACCTAGATAGAACCATAATGCAAGGGCCTGATACCGTGGCAACAAACCCTGATATTCAGCAAATCTTATAGTTAAGAGTTACATATCCTTTTATATTCCTTATGTTATCAACTGCACAAACATTTCCATAAATATCTGGTGCCCATACAAAAATGTAATACTATACTCAAAACAGAACCATTTCAGAACACTTACCATTTTCTTTGCCACATTTTTCAATATGTTTGCGGTTTCCTTTAGGCCATTGCCCTGCAGATTTCTAGTTGACTGAAACAAACTCTCCAAAAGGACTTATCTATATTTGGTTCCATTCAGGTTGTCCTTGATGCTAATAAGCTTTCCAGTTCCTCCTGTTGAAGTGAACACATGATGCTGTCACCAGTGTTATGTGAGGGTTTAACTATATTTGGTTTGCACCCAATATAATGCTTTCCATTCAGACATAAAAGTTCCAAGGCTTCAACAAACTTACTTTTTTTTCCTTCTTACAAATTCATCTCTACACTCCACAGACAACAGGATTAATGCGCACTTCTATTTCAGTTATGAAAGCTCAACTGAGCAAAACTCTCAAACTGGAATTAATGACGCCATCAAGCAATTGAATACAGGTGGACTCGAATGAACATTAGGTTGTACCCTGTATAGGTAATTAGCACGATTGCTCAAGATTAATCACTGCATCCAGTTCATACTGTTAAACCAAAGGGCTTGAAATTAAAGTGAATTTCAGATATTAATTTGAAAGTTGGCATTAAATGTAAAAATCACCATATCTATTTTTTAAAGCATCTTGTTTTGTATTATGTGAACTGAAGAATGCTGGCCTTCACCAATCACTGGGCCTGTTTACACTTGTCACTTAATGCGTTTTCTCAGATCAGTTTTATTATCTGATTTGTAAAAACTGTTCCATTTACACTTAAAAAAATGTGTAAAATTTGCATATACAACTTAAACAACCAGATGCATTTACACTTGTACAGTTATGGCTGGAATGTGTCTAAAACCACTTCCTGAAGATTGCAATCCGTCTTGAATGTGTTTCAGGGGGCATATACATCTGGATATTTATCGCAATCGGATAGCTATATGATCAATATATCAAGATGTGGCCAAGTGCAAATAGGTCAATTTAGTCTGCTTAGACC